CTTCTATTTGTGCTGCCAGGCGATTTCAAAAAGTCTTAAGTAAAACAAAATGCGTGTCATTTTTCCGTTTTACACCCACGCACCTCATCTTTGAACTTGCCCTCTTTTCATTATTTTTTCGCAGGAAGGGACTCTACATTTCGGATGTTCCGCTGCACGACGCTGCCAGGGATTTGGTGCTGCTCTCCGAGAAATTCGAGGCCGAGTACAAGCTCACCAAGAACCTGGAAATGCTCACCGACAAGCTGCAGCAGACTTTCCGCGATCTGGAGAGCGAGAAGCAGAAGACCGACAGGTAAATGATAAATGGCAAATGACAAATGACAGGACGGCGACTCCTTAATGGCGCGCAATTCTCTCAGGCGCGAAATTGAAATTACTTTTCCATGTTTCTGTATCTGTTTCTGCATTCTTTCTACTGCTGCTTCATGGTGTTCCGCGTGTCCTGTGTGTCCTGTACAGGCTGCTCTATTCGGTGCTGCCAAAGTCGGTGGCCAATGAGTTACGACATCAGCGTCCAGTGCCGCCCAAACGGTAAGGAAAAGTCAATTTACCTTTATCCTTGTGGGAAAAGGTGCACAAAGAGAAAATTGTGTTTAAATATTTTACAGAAAATATTTCATACATCTATGAAATAATATTTTAATTTTGTATGAGAAATTTATGAAATCTAAAATAAAGTTTTTTCTTATATCTTAAATTATTTGAATAATTACTGGGAAAGAAATTAGTTCTTATAACTTCTTATAGTATAAATGTATTGTTTAATAAAATATGGCTCTACATTATAGACTTAAACAACGAAATATACGGTCTGTAAGCGATGAAAAATCGATGAAAAATGTATTTGATTTTAATAAATTCACCTTTATCCTAAATTTTTCTCCGTGCACTCTTTCCCCACTTGCTGGAAAAATGCAAACAATTTGCCATATTTGTGCCCGATTATTTATGGGAACAAACTTCTTCCACCATTCGACAGCTACGACTCCGTGACGCTGATGTTCTCCGGCATCGTGGGCTTTGGCCAGTACTGTGCGGCCAACACGGATCCCGATGGGGCCATGAAAATCGTGAAAATGCTGAATGAGCTCTACACGGTCTTTGATGCTCTGACCGACTCCAAGCGAAACCTGAATGTGTACAAGGTGGGTAGGTCAGAGTTCAAATGCAGGTGGTGGCCATCGAACGTGCCAAGCTGCAATGGCCACTTAATTACACTTTTTACCTGGCCACTGGCCACAAAAACGATGCAATTCCCGTCCCTTTTTTCGGGTCACCACACCTCTCAATTTGGCCAATCTAAGGGACTCATTGGCATGTCTGTGCTTTTAGGTGGAAACCGTTGGCGATAAGTACATGGCCGTTTCCGGGCTGCCCGACCACTGTGAGGATCACGCCAAGTGCATGGCACGAGTGGCCCTCGATATGATGGACATGGCCAAGAACGTCAAGATGGGATCGAATCCAGTGGTGAGTATAAAAAAATAATATTGGTTTATTAAAAAAAATCCTTGAAAAAATGTTAAATTTTTAATAATTTTTAAAGTCAACAGGTTTTTTTTATAAAATTTCTGGGAAGAAATCTAATATTCTTAACTCATCGCTTGTAATTTTATTTCTTTAGGGACTACTTTTATTGTGTAGTAATAGATAATCTAAAAGTTATTTAAAAATTTTTTTTTAAATGTGATGTCATTTCTGTTCAAATTTTACCTCTAGAAGCAAGTTCTACAAAAGGAAAAATTTCCCAGCAATTGTATTTCAATCTCCGCTTTGCTTTTATCACATTTAGCATATTTTGGGATCTTTTTGTAGAGCATTTTAGGCAGCGTTTGCCGGGCAACGAAAATGCACGACTGACAACTTATGTTGCAAGTTGCTCAAGTGCCCGCGGATGAAAAGTGGGTTTGGGGTTGGAAAAATGTGCGGCATTTTCCTTTCCAGGGGGGTGGGGGCGTAGGAGGATGCTTTACTCTAATTGTGCGCATTGAAAGTAGTTGGAAAATTGTCTCGCTCGTGTTTTTGTTCCCTCTGTTCGTGTGAGCATGCAAGTTTGAGCATGTTCGCGCAATTTGTTGCTGAATGCGCCATTTGCCATTCGCCATTTTGAGCAACAGCAACTCAATGGCGCATAAATTTCAATGTCTATCCACCCTTAACCCCCTCTACCACGGCCCCCGTCCTGATCTGTTAACCCTCGACTGGCCGGATTGAGTGGCAAGTGCACGTAAAATATTAACAACTCTTGGCAGCAGGGCAAGTGCGAAAAAAGTTCATTTAACAAAGTTTCTCTTTCTCCGGCGAGGGCGCAAAGTTTCGGGTAGAAAACTGCGAAAATTGCTAAAATTAATTCAAAATTGATGACACACAATGTCAAAGGACAACACAGCCAGGACCATGGAACCATGGTCTCGGATCTCGGATCCTTGCCAGTGGCCACTTGACCGTCAACTGTCACCAGAGACGTTGAAACTTGGATAGAAGGCCTCCTGCCTGCTGTTACTATCTCTTTTTTTTGGCTTAAACACTTTTGCTTTGAGTGCTCGGGCTTAAAATACACTGCACACATGCAGGGTTACAGATACGGCGAAGGAAAAAGGGGAAAGGAAAGGAAAGGCAGTGGTTGATCCACAGGACGAAGCGAGGACGAGGACGAGGAGGAGGTTGAGCATGAGCAGGAGGACGAGGACGAGAATGCGGATGCCCCACTTGATGGCATCCTTCACAATTACAGCATTGTACGTGTGGACAATGCTTGTGGCTTGTCAGTCACATTTTGCACATGTCTTGGCATCGTATGTGTACTAGGGTGCCTCGATGTGAGAGAAAAAAATAAACCTTAAATATATTAATTAATTAAATTTGTTATTTAAAAAAAAAAACACATTTAAAATTAGGCATGCCTTTATATTTAAATTTAAAAATTGAATTTTTTGCTATATAAGAAAGCAGAGAATATGTTAAAAACATTCTTACATAAAAAAAATAAGAAAAATTCGAAGGTGTTTCGAAGGCATTTAGAATTCAAAATAAATAATGTGGAGTCGACAAAGAACAAATCCCTTTTCCACAAGACAATTAAAACTGCATTTAGGTTTTTTAAATAAATAAAATTAATTCAATTACCACCCAAAAACCTATAAATAGATTTCCTGGGTCACCCTACTGTGGATATATCCTCAGTATTTGTGTGCGTGTGTCATAACTACCCACACAAACTAAGAACTCTTGCCGGGGCTCGTGTCACTTGGCTTTATTGTCAGAGTTGTTGTTCTTCCGTTGCTAAAATTCCATTACCTTATCGTCTTGCCGAGGGAAGGAACTCTTCTTTCGGTCCTGGGATCATCCATCTGTTCCGCCCACTAAGTATAAGCCCCCTGACTATTCTATCCATTTCCATCTGGCCTCGCCGCAAACTGCAGTCAAGTTTTTGTGGCTGTCTGTACTTCATATTTGACTGATTGCCATTGGAAATGCAGAGAGGGGAAACCCCCGTTTTTGTGGGGGAAAAAAAGACGATAGAGGGGAACTCGAGAATCGAGTCAACGTTTGATGGATCGCTCGAAATGCAATTAACAAACGCCACGGGCGGCTAATGGCAAAAACTGGGACACGACATCGGAGCCTGTTGCACTGCCCTTTCCAGAATTCCAGCCCCCTTGCTCCTCGACACCCTTCCATGCCCGCCACTGGCATCATTTTGCGCTTCATTAAATCCTGATAAAAAGCAGCAGCAGCTAGTCATTCCGCCCCCTCTTCACCGCCGCCCCTCCGTTTATGAAGCCAATTATACCGATGTTTTTCTTCATGCAAAAACTTTGCTCAGCTCCTCCTCCGTTTTCCCCGCTTTCCCAGCCAGTTTTTCTCAACTCAACTCTTTGTGTTGGCTACTTCCTGTGCTTGCAGTCCATAAATATTGATTCGGTTTTCAGCAAAAACTTTTTGCAGTTACTATGTATTTTCTACACTCGAGGGCGTAGCCAGGAAAAATCATTCTTCTAACTGCCAAGCATCTTTGATGATGCCTAAAAATAAACCAGCAATTTTCCACAGAACCTTGTTATTAACTAAAATGGATAGTGCACTTGCGTCCCTGCGCCTCTTTTTGGAAATACAATTTTTTTATGAACATTTAAATAATAAAAACATAATCATCCTGAAAAATATCAAATGGTAATAATTTATATTTTAAATAAATGTTATAATAAGAGAATAAATTATTCTGTGTAATCGAAATTTTCGATATTTTAACAATATTGATTTAATAATATCAATTAAATATCGAGAAATAGCAAACTGTCGATATTCTTCCAATCTCTATTTGGAGTGCTAAAAAGTTTATCGCATTTCTTCATTACTTAATCAAAAGCCAACTGAGTGATTGACTTCTGTTTCGATGCTCACTGCTGAATGATTCATCAGCAATTGAAAGCACTGATTTGATTTGATTTAGTTGCAAAATTCTTTCTCGTTTCGACTTTGTGCACTTTTGGCTTCCGGAAGTTTCGGTTTTTTTTCGCTTATCGCACTCCGCCGCCTTGGCAATTAGTTTTATGAAATGTTTTCGCTGGTAATTACAAGTTTCGTCCTTCGTTTTTATCTCAGAACTGTGTTGGCACTTTACCCATTTACACATATTCTCTTGGCTCTGCATTTTTGCCCCCCAAAAACCCGGCGCGCTTTTCCCGGACTTTTGCCAGGACTTTCGTTTTTGGATTTCAGCATCGTCACCTACTAACAAGGACCTTTGGTTTGGGATTTGCTCTCTCTTTTCTCTTCGCTCATTTCGTTTTAAATTTAATTAAAGAAAACTTTTTCCTACTGCTGCTACTGCAAGTTTTTGGAAAGTAATTGTGGCAACTTTCGCTTGGTTTTTCCAGCTACATTCCGTTGCGGTTGGGCAACTTTTTCCTGGGGGTGTTGATGATGGGACTCTTGCCGGCGAAAGTTTATTAGCGCAATGAAGTGCCCTTTTAAGATCTCGCAAATTCAGATTATAAATTTAGCCCAGCCAAGGCTCTTCTTATTTATTTTCTAGATAAACTCTCTTACTCTAAGATTATAAATTCTTTGTTTTTGGTCCGTGTTTCTTCTCTTTTTCAGCAAATCACCATAGGCATTCATTCGGGGGAGGTGGTGACCGGAGTGATTGGCAACCGTGTGCCGCGTTACTGTCTATTTGGAAATACAGTCAATCTCACCAGCCGAACGGAGACCACTGGAGTTCCGGGTCGCATCAATGTCAGCGAGGAAACCTACCGGTGAGTGTTTAGATCTATGGGCTATCTGGGCTCTCCGGGCAGGGAAATTGGCGGAAAATCGGGATCGAAATCGGGGGGACTGGCTGCTGTATAGGCGGCCACTGCCGCCTTTTTGGCCTCCTCCGTATAGGCTCCATTTCCCGATTCCAGAAAGGCCGCCAATGCTGCCTTTTCCGGATCCGTGACAGCCTGCAGAAGCTGCACATGATTCTCACTCTCATCCTCACTTTCCTCCTCCGCACTGCTGATGGTCTCCATGCGGGGCACCTCATTCCCCAGCTTGGGTTTTATTCTCTGCGAGTCCTTAGCCTCCTTATCTCCCTCCTCCTCCTGGGCCTCAGGTCCTTCCAGCTCCTCCGTAAGATCGATGTAGCGTTGCAGGCGCTTCGGCAGCCTCAACGTGTCGATGCCATTGGGCAGTTGATTGTGCTCCCGCAGGACATCGCGAATGCAGCAGCTGAAAGATTAATACATTTTAAATATTAAATTTAACTAACATTTTAACATTCAAAAAATTAAAATACATCATTAGAAAAAAAATATAAATTATTCAACAATGTATAAATCGATATTTACATAATATCATCAATTTTATTCAGTTTCCAAAAATCATATAAAAATATAGAAAGCCTCTAGAAAGCCAACTATTTTTCAATATTATAAGACTTTAATTTGTGTGTTTTTGAGCGTAATTTTTTGACTTCTTTTAAGCTTCTTTTAAGTCGTTAGCTTGAAAATAGTGTGCAGGATTGACATTTTGCCAGATTTTTCCGACTTTCTGGTATACTTTTCTCGCCTTTAGGCACTGTGCCTGTCAATCTCAGCGGGATATTTCATAAATTAATTTAAGTTTCACACAATATGCTCATACGGCGGACAAAAAAAATCCGCGCAGCAAACAAAGTTCATGTGCTTAAAACTTTTCTCGTGAGTGAAAGGCAGCAAAGGCGAAAAAAAGAAAAAAGAATAACGGCCAGGAACTTTCACTAAAGTTGGCAGCGAAAACTAGAGGAAGAAGTTAAAGTAGCGGATATTGGTAGCGGATTCTTTTTGGCCCTTCCACTTAGAGGCGCAGTGAAAGCTTTCGGGAAAGTTAGCCCATTTCCCCGCTTTTCCCCCATTTCGCAGTGTGTGAAGCCGGCTCTAAAGTGGCTTTTTGATAACTGCGGCGAAGGGCCAAAATTCCTCGTGAAAGTGAGCTCCAAATTGGCGTCATAAAACCCAGGGAGGGTCTAACAACAACCACATGCTAGTCGGAGATCCATCCAGGAACTCCGAGAACGCAGTTTATGTCCATGTTAATTTGTCCTGTCAAGTTTCTCTGTTCTGGCAATATTTTGGCTTTTTTATGGCCACCGACGACAAATTCGACCAATCAATAAAGCAAGCTGACACCGCGCCTAGGGGAAAAGAACGCAAAATGATGAGCCGACGGAAGTCTCGGAGCAGCCATAAAAAGGAGAAACAAAAAGCGTTGCCTACTTGTGGGCGCCACTCCGGAAGTCGGGAGGCCGGGGCGTATGCGCAATCTACACACATTCGCTTTGAGACGCTGATTTTTGGGGTCAATGCGTAATGTAATGCGTTATGCATGCATTCTGTGGCTTCTAGAGAGATTTGCATAAATTGGACTCGCAAAATGGCTCGCTGGAGAAGCAAAGGACACTGCCGCAGACCCTATAAATCAAATGCAAAAACCCTCGTTTTGAGACTGAACTTGAAGTCTCGACAAGTGGACGCCAACTTAGTTGCAAATACAATGGAATATGTCAAATAAAGAGAAAACAAAAGAGAACGATATAGTCGAGTACCTCAGCTAAAGGAAGTGCGAGGGAGATGGAGATATGCATTCAGAAAAGCGACTGCTTGCAATGCTTGAATTCTAATTTGAATATTAGCTCATAACTTTTTGATGGATGGTCCGATTTGAAAAATGTCTTCTACATTTTGACTTAGCATTATTATTATTATTAAATTTATTTATTAAATTAATGAATCTAAATGTCCAACAAATTAGCTGTTAAAAATGATCAGAAAATCATTAAAAGACTTTAAATTTCCTTGAACATTTGGAATATAAATTTAAAGAATTTTCCCACGACCCAGACTTTTGCTGTGCAAAATGCAGGCCAAGAGCGCGAGTTTCCACATCGCAAACATTGGCCAGGGAAAACAAACTGGCAAACAAGCTGGGAAAACGGGTTCCCAGCTGAAACGAGAGCCAAAGTCAATGGACGTTTTTGTTACACGTGAGCTGGGGGAGGCAAATATATTTGTATGTTTGTGTACCCGGCATCATCGGGTCACCGAGTGCTCGACAAATAAATGGCACATATATATATAGGCTGAGACTAGAGCCCTGCATGAATGGATTCAATGAATTATTTTGAATTTTTTTTTTTCATATGAATGAATTAATTAGAATTTTAAGTTTAATAGAATTGAATGAATTTGAATTTTGAGTTTAATAGAATTGAATGAATGAATGGCATGAATTCCGAAATAATTCAAACGACAATTTATTTTGAAGAAGATAGGGCCATAATTTTGTGTTTAAATCTGCCTGAATTTTATTTACTATGCAGTTAACATTGATTTGTTAAAAATTTGTCACTTTTTGTTCTCAAAAGAAAGCACAAAAAAAATCTGGAAAATTCAAAAAATTCATAAAATAATTCATTCAATTCATTCAATTCGAAATGAATTAGAATAACATTCAATTTATTTCACATAGAATTGAATTAAACAAATCAGAAATTTCATGGCATACTATGATAAAACAAAAATTGAATGATTCATGCAGGGCTCTAGCTGAGACCCCGCATTTAGAGTCGCAAGTCCCACATGAACCTTATCAATGGCAGACGTCAACTTATCGAATTAAAACGAAGCGAAACTTCTCGACTAAACACCGATCAAAGTGGCAAAGAAATTCGCATCGATTTAATTCATTAAGTTGGCCGACATTTGACTACATTGTGGCCGACTCACTGAGGCAAACGGGAAAGTTTCGAGCCCGACTTTCTGATACAATACAACTTGCATTAAGCCGCCTGACAAAGGCGCCAGGACGAGGGAAACTTGTCAACTTAAGGCCCAGACAGTCTGTCAGTTTGTCAATCTGTCAGTTTGTCAGTTGGCCAGTTCAGCTCCTGTCTTATGCTTATTTCATTTTTCGGGCTTATCGCCGAATTGTCTGCCCGTAGGAAGTTAAGCAAGCGTGGCGGACCTAAGCCAAAGTAATTGAATAAAAAAGAGAAACTTATTATGGCTGTCAGACTCCGTTCTCCATTCTCCCCGGCCCTGAATCTCCCTTCTTCGAACGGAAATTCGTGGTTGGGCAGCTCATTGTTAGTCACAAAGTCAAGTGTTGAGCAGGAGTTTCCTTTTTCCTTCCTTCCCCAGAGAAAACGACAGGTCAAAGTTGATAATTACCGGCATAAATGACGCAGACTAGGCACTCCGTAGACCTGCTCCTTGCCAATAATCCTGTCCATCAACAGGCGGCCATAGCGATCGAAAAACATCTCTCTTCGGGAGGCGTATAAAAGGGGCTGGAAAGGGAAAGTGGGAGAGTTAAATAAAATATATCACTTTTATGAAAAAATATTTACTAAAACATAAAAAAATTTATGATACATATAACGATTCTTGAAGTGAATGAATAAATAATAGTTTTCATGAGAATAAGCTTTAGTTAGAATTTATTTTATTTGTTTTCTCTGAATATATTTAATTTTTGATATTTTTGAGAACAACCTATGATATTCCTTAGAATAAGCTTTAGTTAGAATTTATTTTCTCTCAAAATAAAAGTTACAAACTAGTTTCGTATTTATTTTCTCCGAGTTTATACCACAATTATTTCTGCTGAAAGGAAACCAAGTTTACTACACCATTAACTCACCTTGAAGGGCATCTCAATCATGGCCACATTTCGCAACAGAATCTTGAGGCACATGACCAGTTCGAAGCTGTAGTTGCGGCCATCCTCGATGAGTTTGTCGAGCAGCGCGATAATTACGGAGGCGCCACCGTCCGGCGGCTGTGGTGCGGCACCATATCTGCAACAGATGGAAAGTCGGGAGTGGGTAACTGTTTGCAAATGAGATACAAGCTGCCAGCACGTAGTTGGTTTGCTTGCGGTCAATGCAAAGGGGTCGGTGGTATAAGGGCTGGAGGTCGGAGGTCGGAGGGTGGGACGGCAATAAATGGTAGATGCCCCGATAAACACAATGTACAAATGAAATAATGAACAGACACGACTCGCGGTTGTGTCAGTTGCACACGAGCACACACAGAAGCAAAGGATGTACACATGAACACTGGAAAAAAGTACCTAAATTTCGAAAATATTTAAACATTTATAATAGATTTTCTAAGCTAGCTATCAAACAAATAAAGTTGATATTATTTAAAAATTCCTTTTAAAAAAAATTATTGACAAATAATTAACATAAGCTCAAATTTCTCTTACTGCATACAGAAAGACCCGCGTGAATGGCAAATGAAGTGCAAATTGCAAATGGCGCCGGCAGTGTTGTCACATTTTAAATTGAAAATGTTTGTCAAAATCTCCGCCCTGCGCCCGCATTTGTATATCTCGTTTTCTGGCTGATAAGCATTGTAATTTATATGTTTCGCTTATTTATTTGGTGCTTTCCACCGCCACCTCCGTCATATAAATATAAATATTGTCTTTTCACCGCAGCGAACAAAGTCGCCGCCACACGGCGTATGCGCAATTATGCACTAGTAAATCAATTTGGCAGCGCAAAAAAGAGGAAATAAAAGACGAGAAAGGAATTCATCTCACCGCATTCATTTGCATATTTTATGGCCAATTTCAAATGAAAATGCAGCAAAGCGAAAAGCGAAACGCAAATTAAAACACACACAAAAGCGAAACAATATCGAAAATTTATGGCCGCATCAGCATCAGTAACTCGAAAAAACAGCAGCCGCCTCTGTATGAAAATAAAAATCAGTCGAGGCGGAAAGGCGACGACGCAGAAAGCGAAACAGAAACAGAAACCCGTAGCAAAAACTGGCAAATCCCACCTCCCAAACCCCAAAACCTCAGGGGAAAATCGAGGGTAGTGGCGGGGGAAAACGGCCAGCAGGGAATTGGCAAGCCAAACTCAAACATTTGCCATCAATCGAAGCCATTGCAATTGCAATTTGCTCGGTGCAATCAGCACAGCTGGCGGGAATCTCAATCTCATGCTGAGTCCTGAATTCTGAATCCACAGCTGGCCTGCGCCTCATAATGCGAGTTCTTTCCGCATTACGCCCCTTTTTGGGAAAAGGAATTCACTTTTAATTTTGTCGGCTTACAAAGGGGGAAGTAATGTTGCAAATTGCTGGAGAGCGCTTGGAGTTCCCCAGGAAATTATTTGGAATTTAATTTGGCAACGATATTGAAGTCGTTTTTCGGCGGAGGCCTTTAGGCGCAGTTCGAAGAGAAATTTATATTTCGCAAGGTCAAGTACAGGGGCTAAGATCTCTTAGATTTAAAAGAAAAAACCACATAATATTTATAGGTGATTAAAAAGATCTAATAAATTTAAAAAGAAAAAAAAGAATTCGAAATAATTTATAATGGTGTCTAAAAGTATGCAACAAAAAAATTATAGGTGATTTTAAACCTACAAGCTCTTAAAAAATGAAATACCTATTTTCCTCCAATAAAGTTTAGTCATTTGAGGGTTACATAAAGATGTTTAACAAAAACTTTTTATCTTGCCCGTAACAAAATAAAAAGTTTACGAAGCACTACAAGTTCTAAAAAGCGTTTTTCCTGCTCCTAGAGAAAAAAATCACACAAAATATGCCACTCAAACCGAAGGACCGGCGGAAATTGAATAATTTTTTGTGAAAATCTTGATCTAATGAAATTCAAGCTGCCTTCCGCCGCTGCCTTCGACATAAACTTCGACAGCTGAGCAACTCGGTCTCAGTGCCAGCGACTTGCTGACAGCAGACAGCAACTTTGTTGTGACTCGCCTTTTTGGCCTGCAATCAATACTCGCATTTTATGCAAAGCATCCTCTCTTTTGGCGCTGCATCAAAAATTGAAACCGAAGCCAACAAAATGGAGGGGCGGAGGGGGCGTGGCCGCTGCGATATCAAGTTAGGAAACAATAAATTGCCGGGACAGCGAAAGTCAAGGACGAAAAACTGCAGGCGTTTACATATAAATTTATGAATCTCGGCTGAGGACCCGAGTGCATGCTCGTAACTTTTTACAAGCAGCTTTTCGGTGTTTTTTTCAGCTTTTTCTGTTTTTTGGACCATGAGACTCGGTGGAGACCGCCTTGTGATGCAAATTCGCTTTGGCAGCGACTTTCATATTTAATGATAATTTTTCCTTTTATTTTCTCTATCCCCGCCTTGGGTCTTTCCTCGCATTTTCTTGTGGCTTCGCGAGCACTTGCTTATGCTAAGCGTCTTGTATTTTATGTTGCATACATTGCGGCGCCGCCGCTTTGCATATTTCTCGCTAATTGAAGTGGCAGTCGCTGGCACTTTCCCCTCAAACCCTCCGACCTCCGGAAGTCGACTTACCTCAGCAGTATGAGCAGCAATTCGGGAGCGTTTGCCTGCAAGGCGATACGAAGCGGCGAGGACTTTCCGCAGGACTCAATGGGGACATCAATGAATCTGCAAAAAAAAAATAAGAAAAAAGAACCGGATACGGATGAGTCAGTTTTTTTTTATACACACATTCCGAGTGAGCCCTTCTTTGTGGCCATTTTAATGGGCGACAAGCATCAAAATGGGCTTTGCACATTAGCAGGACTCGCAGGAGCTGGGAAAACGAGTGCCAGACCTCAATTAAGCTGCTCGCTTGTTGCTCAATGCCCTTCCCAAAGAGGAAAATAAATACACAAAGGGAAAATAAAGCATTTACTACTTTAAACTGAAAGAATATTAAAATTAAATTGAAGGTGTATAAAAGTGTGCAATAAAGAAACAAAATGTCATGTCAAATTGTACTGCCTACTTTTAGACACATTTATAAATTCTTTAAAAATGTAGTGATTTCTGTGTTCCTCTTCCAGCTTCATTTAAGAATTAATCTAGTACTTTGACTTTTCCAATTGATTTTACTAACATAGAACCTTGTGGTATTTTTTCCTGTGCCTGCTAGCTTGACATTGCGTATACGTAATGTGTTGTGTGAGTAGAGGGCGTTTGTCTCCATTCAAGCATTAGCATGTACAATGCACTTAAAGCACATTTGCGACACACTACACACACACCCACACACACATTCGCAGGGCTTTTATGTCTACGCATAAAAGTAGGCAAATAAAAGAGCAGAAACCACAATAAACCGGAAGTAGAAGTAGAAGTAACCCACACACAGCAGACGATAAGCGCATTTTGAGCCACCATCCACCAGTGACAGCTTGGAAATTGGCTTGGCAAATTCATTTGCGTTTTATTGGCAGCGATAAAAGCGAGCGTCCCTGTAAGAATCAAGACATTCGCAGGAATCGCATCCCGTGACAGGTTCTTCGATGGTTCCTTTTTATATAACACCTCGTGGCTCGAATTTACGCCACCAGTCGGAAGTGATTTGCCCCTTAAGTCAAACATTAACACTTTAATCAGCTGGCTGACAAATCAAATTTCTGTCTAATGGTCTGCTTAGCGGAGTATTAGCCGGGATTTAATGTTAATGTCTTTGCTATACAGTGCGTACTTGGTTCTAAGCCAAGGTAAAGAGTGTAAGAGTTATCAACTTGCAGCAGCTGGAAATGCTTTGCATTTAGCGAGAATATAAATTATTCCGAGTGTCATTAAGTCAGCAGGTGGACTGGCACTGGATTATGCTAAGTAGTAGTGGAATAATCCAACTAGCTTTTTTATAAAACCACTTAAGCTGTGCAATTACTAAATACAGTTATGAATAATTCAGGACTTTTAATTGGCAATCTGACTTTAATGAAATAAAAGGGAAACTTTGGAGTAGAGATGAATATTTCTGTTTTTGAAATAATAAAATACATAAGTGAATTAATAAAAAATAAAAACAGATTTTAAAGCAAACAAAAAGTTTTAAAAGTGTGCAATAAAAACCTAGTGATTTTTAAAGCACCTTCAGTACTTTCGGCACCTTTTCCCATTGAATTTTACCCAAAATATTTACTAAATCTACAAAAATCTTTTTGTCAGCCTTAACTGTATTGCTCTTTATGAGTGTTTACTGTGGTGGGAGGACTTTACCAATATGCTACTCTGCTCAGCACTGATTTATGCAGCTTCAACGGCATTTGGCCGAAACGTTTATTGTCACATTGCTTGTTTTTCGCAGCTCCTCACTCACACTACCACATAAGCGTCCCTTCCACACATACATTTGCAGCTATTAACGCTTATTCATGACTTTGGCTGCTGTTTTGCGAGAGGGCATCATAAATGTCGTCTTAATGTTTGCCAGTCAGTTTCTTTCCTTTTTTTTTGCCTTCTGTTTGTTTAAGAAGCGCAAACAGTCAACTCTGCAAAATGGTGTGAGTGTGTATGTGGATCCGAAGGGGGCAGTGGATGTATCTGTGTGGATTAGTGGGCGTGGTGGGGTTGAGAATGCTTTTGTGCGCTTATTACACGCATTTTTGACTTTAATCCTCCGGAGTGCTGGCGAACAAAGCCGAAATAACAAAAGGTTTACATCGCTGCCTGTTGGTTTTCAGCTTATCGCATCAGAGACACATATGTGGGGGAGGCGGGGGTTGGAAGAGGCGGAAAATGGGAAACTGGGAAGCTGCAAATGAAAATCTTAATTATACATGACACCAGCAGAAGTGAGAGAAAAGTGAAAAGCCACCGCCAGTGATTGAGAGCCATTCTGTGTGTGTGCGAAAGTGTATTCCTGCAGTCGTGACTGTGGTTGTAAATTGTCGCCATCTTTCACTCAATTATAGCAGACACACACACATGTACAGACTGACACACACACTTGTAGCTACACAGCGCCACAACAATGGCTGATGTATTAATTTAATTAAAATCCTTTCGTTTCTCTGGTTACTCTTCACTTTCACCCACTGTTCTCTTGTATTCCCACGGGTTATTTATAGTATCTCATTGTTACCAAAAACATTATTATTATGAGGGAAAACTGAAAGACAATTAGGGTTAGTTAGTGTATATTGCGTTGGTATTCTGAGTGGAATTTTATAGGGTAACCTCGCTATAACTATAAAGGAGTGACGATTTTCGTTCGCAGGATCAGAGTGCGGCAAAAACTGAAAATCTAAAATTTAATACCTTAAATTTAAGGATTATATTTAAAAGGCACACTTAGAATGGATTTTACAAAGTTTGTCCACAAAGTACCAAATATTTCAAATCATTATTTATTATACACCATATCAAAATCTCTTATATTTTAAATACAAAAAATAATTTTAGTAGTAAACTTTTTGCCTTTCGTCCCGGGACTAAAAAAAGTTTAGTTTGATTTTTAAAAACATAAGCCCCACATAAATGTCCAAGTACAAAGGTGGAAAACTCTTCAGGGGAATAGAGACCTCGGCATGTCACCCCGCCAACTATCCAATTAACCCCAGCTAGTGTGAAAATTGCTCGAGGCAGCCAAAGAGCGCGACACATGAAAGCCGGGCGGAGAAAGCGGAGAAAGTCAGGGCGTGATGGGAAGAGGACTACTCACCTGAGCTGTCGCTCCTGTTCGAAGCGCGGAATCCAGACGGGCAATGTGAGCTGCTCGCGTGTGGCGTGCTTCAAAAAGTAAACCATCGCCCGGACATTTTCGTGCTGCAAACAAAGGACTTACATGGGCGTCCATCCCAAAGGGGGTTGAGGGGGCTCTCTCACCTGATCCTGGAAGTCACTGCGCCAGCCGGCGATGAAGTGCGGAGCATGTGGTCCGAACAAGGCGCCCAGAAAAATCCGCTCGTATGTTTTCTCGCACTCATAAATGGCCACTAGAATTGTAGTTAGAAAATGGGTTTTAAAAGAAAATACTTTAAAACTTAGAAAGTTTAAATTTTAGAAAGAAACAAAACAAAAATACAAAAAGTCAGCTTATAAATATGGTGATTAAAAAAATATATTAACTTGATAATAAATTAGTTTGATGTACTTAAATTACTAAAATAATAAAGAGCAAATTTCTAGTTCAATTTATTTAGAAAAAATGTATACCTAATTCTACTTTAAATCAATTCTTTACTCAATTCTTAATGATTAATCAATATTTATGAGGGATCATGGTATTCTTGTCCGATTAAAAATGAACTCTGGCACACAAATTATGTTTTAATTTTATGCTGATAATCTTTACGAAAAAGTTTTATACACTTTTGGCTTTCTACCCCCGTGCAGCAATATTTGCGGGAGTTGGGGGAAATAACGGTTAAATAATGTCATCAAATCGCAGCGGCAGCAGCCATAAAAAAGCTAATTACGTGGCTGCACTTGTTGCTGCTTGGCCGACTCCTTTTTGGCTCTTTGGCTTTCGGTTTCCTTGGCTTTTTTGGCACAGCCCAGAAATGAAGTCAGCGGAAAACGGAAACTGGCCAAAATGTTTGCCAAACCAATGGCAGGAGGGGGCTCTGAGTTTAGGGTCTAAAAAACCCAGCTCAGCAAGAAAGCAACAAAGTGGGGACAGGACAAACAAGGAGCAAGTTTTATTGCACACGAGTCCAGATCCCATGACAGAGGCATGCCATTAATTTCTACCACTTTCTACTTGCCACTCTCCTCCGCTCGCAAAAGTTTACGCAGCCTTTTAATTAGAGACAGCCAGTATACGCATTACGTATGCGCCCCAAATAACTTGCAACACTTTAAGGCACTTTACAAGTTTTACGATGCAGAGCAACAGAAACAACAGAACAGCATTAGCAACACTTTCTTAACGCAATTAGCAGAAACACGTGATTAAAGTTAAAACTGCCTGCTTATGGGCGTAATAATCCGATGCGAAGGGATAAAATTCATTAAAATATGCAAAGCAAACGGCCACGCCCCAAAAAGAGCACACAGAGGAATGTCGTGCCACATACACACTTACGCCCACTTCCACTTCCACATCCACATCCATATGCATATAAATTAAATTATTTAGTCGGAATGAGTTTACTTACCCAGCAGCTGAACGACCACCTCCGAGTCCCGAACTCCCCAGTCCCAGCAGGTGCGCAGGCCGATATAAAGGATGTTGTGATACTTGCCCATGAGGCAGACCTGAGAAATGTGCAGAGACCAGATTAAGTCCCCGCTGAAGCACTACTTTTTGAATTAAAAATAATTGCAATATGTCAGGCAACTATTTAAGTTGAAAGAAAATTAAATTTAAAGAGACTCTGGAACGGCAAAGAAATACAAATCATAAAAGCAAATCCTGCTTAATGTGAAAAATGTGGCAAAAGAGGTCAAGTGACCTCTAAAGAACGGCTTTTTAAATTATAAATAATTGCAATGTGGCAAGATACCGATTAAATTGAAAGGAAAATAAAGAGTCCTTTGGGAAACATATTTCCCATATTTATTCACAGAAAATAACACGTTTATTTTCCCACTTAAAGAGTCATACATATTTTCATTTAATTAATTTTTCCTTTGAGCCTTGTGTATACTGCAAAGAGGTTTGTGTTTCTAAGAATTTTGCAGCTTTTGGACCGTATTCAATGGCTGCAATTTTATTGTTCTCAGAAAGAGAACAATAAATGGTCAAGACCTTTGAAATCTAAACTTTTATTTCATTTTCCTTCTGGTACACTAACACCCCGTTCGAGGATAAGTTGTAAAGGTATATTGAATATTTGCCTAAAAGTACGCTGTGAATAAGGGATCGACGTCATCCTGAATAAATTCATATCACTTTTGCGGTAAAAATATATTGTTGCATACTTTTCGACACATATTTTGACTATATTGGCACCTTAAGCCTAGTACTCACTTGAATCAAAAAGGCAACGAAACGAAAATTTCTATACAAAAATGAAAGGCGGAAAATTTCGTGATCAAAATTTTGTATGGAGATTTTCATTTCGTAGGCTTTTCGATTAAAGTGAGTACTAGGCCTTAAATAAATATGAAAGATATATAAAAAAATCACCTTTCCGTTCTGTTCCTTGGCCATCCGATGGAATCTCATGGCTGCCGTCACCGCGATGGCGGCCACCTCCTCCGTCTGCGAGTTCTGTCCCTCGCTGCAGCCCTTGATTATCGAACTTAGGTGATCGAGGACATCGCGCCGCGACTGGCGATCCTGCAGCCCGTTCCGCGAGATCTGCTCGAAGGTGTCGTCGAAGAAGCACTCGAAGATGTAGTCCATGACCAGGTGGCGGCGCGTCGTCCGCCGATTCCGCTGGTGACTGGCCCGTTCTGCGGGATTCCTTCGCAATCGTTCCCTCACCCGCAAACGCAACCTTGTTCGTGACTCAGTTTCCCGCCGGAAACCGTAGAAATGTTGTGGTAATGGCAACCAGCAGCGAACCCACACAAATTGACTTTTTAATTGACTTACCAGCCGCTGGAAAGCCTCTAGCAACTGCGAGAGCATATTGTAAATAAAATATTTATTTCACTCAAATAAATATTTAATTTAATAACAAAAAAATATTTCCCTCCAAAAGACTTAAATTTTGTTTAAAAAAAAACTCCCGAACTGCTGAAGCCAAAGAGGCACAATGCACGAAAAAAGAGAGCGTTTCAAACAATTAAGGGTGAATACGGGCTCTCTTTTTGCTATTGATTTTTTCCAGCTGGCAATGATGTGCTGGGAGAAGTTTTGATAAACATAAACAAATGAATAATGAGTACAAATCTTAACAACATGATTACTTTAAAATTTGCAACTTTCTCTAAAACAAAAGAATATTTTCTGTATTTTATCTATGCATTTTCACTACATTTTCTATGCACTTTAAGGGGCTCTTTATTTCAATGAAACTCTCTTCACATTCCCGGCAATTCGCAAACAGGTGTTTGATTACCAGCCGACAAGTATTCCTCTATGGACACTTCAAAAACCGAATGGAACTCAAGTAGTCCATTGAAATTGATTCGATTGGGTTTTAGCTAAAATGTTGATTGCATTGCGAAATTTTCTCGCATTTTTCCGAACCATCTATTCACCGCACGCCACTCACACACAATTTTCCACCCCGCTCATCAGCCGGGAAAACTAAACAAATGAAGTCTAAATTCTAAGAACGCTCAGCTGTTTACCTACGCTCTCTTTTTCTTTCGGGTTTCTCTCCTCTCTTTTCGCTCGAAGAGCATTATAGGTATTTAGTGTGCGTTTCATAAATATAAGGCCGAATTAAAATGCCATTCAAAATATATGAATGCTCACACATTTTTCCGTGTTAAACGTTTGGCGATAAAAATAAAATCCTCGCCACAAAGTGCAAATATTAAAGCTTTTGCATGGCTGTTTAAGTATTGAATTGAAATAATAATTGGTTTGTAATTAAAAGGATTACATTCGCTTCAACAAAAATCAATTTATTTGAATGGTTTACTTATTGCTATTTATTTTCCCTGTGTTTGAGTTTAAAACCATTAATGTCGCAATCAGTATTTTTCGTTAATTCATAAGAATTTCAGAAATAAAATGGTTTCTTCCAAAGCTAATTAAATTTTTATGGAAATTGCAGAACACTTTAAGCTGTTAATCTATTTTTCATTGAATTTATCCTGTTTTGTATACCTCTTTACTTTTATAGATTTGTATATCTCCCTTCATTGGAATTACAAATTTAAAGAGATATATTTTTATTCCCATGAATTTGATTGCCATTTTAAATAGGGATTATTTTTTTTTTTGGTTAGGCCAAAAACAAAGCAAGTGTCATTAAAACATCACTTCAATTAAAATGTAAATTTTAAATAATATTCAAGCGCATTGTTTACATGTTTTTCTATCCCCCTTTGCCAAATACTTTTTGCCTATGCGGCAAATATCAATTTCCGCATAAATTATTCACACACTCATTCCATTATTCGCCATATTTGCACGTTTAATATTTGGGCTGACAATTAAGCGTTGGGTAAATATGTAAGCACTGCCATAAACATTAATTAAGAAGGCACACACGCAGGAGTTGCGGAGATGATGATGGTTGGAATTGGGATAATAATGTCTGGCAGGGACTTTTCTGCGAGAACCTTCGCCTTAATCGCATGTGCAAATAAATATATCGAAGGGCACTCGGATCTCTGATCTGTGTAATTAACTCAAGTCCATTAAAACGGTGGATATTTGTGCTGGTTACCCGGGAAAACAGGAAAGCAGGGCTATATTTTCACCTGATCAGAGCTCACCTGGGCACTAATTAAAAGGGCAATGCAATTGTGGCCATATGCCGGTCATCCGAGGCCGCAAAGGTTGCGAATAAATTGAATTAAATGCGTATGCAATCAGCGGTGTATTGGCCGTAAATATATGAGCCCGAATAAATGCAACAATGTGTGGTTTGGGTTGTGGGCCCAGCGGAAGCGGAAATGCACAAAAGCCAGGAGAAATTTTTATTCCGCATCCGCTTTCCCACGAGGCAACTCAAATGTGCGGGCAAATAAAGCGCAATAAGCGAATTTACATAATTTCTGGCGATGCAATCTAAAAGTTGAATAAGAGTGTCCCACGTTGCAAAATTACGACGGCAATTTATTGGTGTGGAGATTGAGAAAAATATTACCCCCGAGATATACATCATTCAGAGCGGAGTGCATTATATATACTTATATATAATAACTCTGGCCAACTTCGTCGCGGAACTCAGTGACTCAAATTTATGGCCGCACTTTAACAGTCACATATCTCAAGTCTAGCGATTGCAAAAAAATTCTCTAAGAACTTATAATGCTTTGCGAAATTTAATGTAAGGTAAAAAAAATATCTGTTAAATTTTAGCAGTTGTAATATTAAATTTTAAGATATTTATATTTTTAAGATATTTACTAAAAACTAAATTAAAATAATGTAAACTTGATATAAGAAATGGTATTTATTCTTCAAAAATACTCTGATATCAAAAAGGTGAAAAAATGTGAAAGTTTATTACTAAAATCTAAATAAAATATTTTTCTAAATATTTTTCCATTAAACCCATGTTCTCTAACCTTTTATTTCTTCCGCTTTTACTAGGCTTCTCTGCCTGGCGATCAACCAGGACGATTCATTCCACTTGGAGTACCGCGGACCGGTTATCATGAAGGGCAAGCCGGAGCCCATGGACTGTTGGTTCCTGACGCGTGCCACCAGCAGCATTTTGGGAGCCACATCCTCGTTAGCCGGGGGAAATGGCAGCCTGGATTCGCCGCTGTTGCAGCCAACAACTCCAACAACCGGCGGGGCCACGCCCATTGGCGGAACAAGCGTCCTGCGGGGGGCAGCAGGACATGCCAGTGTGTCACGTACCTCGTCCGCCGGAGGGGCAGCAGCAGGGGGAGCAGGAGGAGCTGCTGGGGGCACATAGGAAATGTGCAAGGACTCGTCTTGCTGCTGCTGAAACATCCTGTAAAGTTGCCACTGCGTGCGTGACTCCATCTGTCCGAAAGTCTGCGGCTAAATCTGCAGGTCCTTGGACCACTTAACCACTTCATTTCTATGCCTTTGTGTTTGTCATTCTGCATCCTGCGTCCTGCATCCCTAAAACCCAAGTGTGTGTTCTTGGCATTGTGTGATTGTTGCGGCCGAGGAGCTCGAGGAACATCGGATCGTTGTGCAAGGTAATTTATGTTAATGCTCTCCTATCTGCAACCATTCAAGCCAGCCCATCCAGGCCAACCCAACCACTTAGCCGAGTCACTTTACAAATGATTTACATATCTTGTGTGTACACTGAAGAAAGGGCAATATAAAGTACAATAGAACATAAAATAAAGAATAGTTTTGAATTTTTAAATTTAGTTTTAAACACGATTATTTTTGAGATTAAGCTAAAGCTAATTATTAAATGGTAGAAGTAAAGAAATCAATTATAAGGAATTTTAATTTATTCAAATTGGAAAGGATACTATTAAAAAACCCACAATTATTATCTAGTCTAGTAAATTTACCTACTACATAAAAAATATTTATATTTTAGGTTTCCTTTGTAATATGATTATTTCGGATCTTAAATTAAAATATTTATTTTAATATTTAGGATAAATACAAATATTCCGATTAAGTATACTTAATTAGTTCCCAAATCAGTAGTGATTAATCTGAAATGTTTTCGCCTGTGCACGTAATTTATTCCACATTATCATTATCGTGTCATGATCTCCAAACCCTTGAAATTAGCCCGAGCCCTTGACTGTCCTTATCTGGACAAATTCTAATGCCAGCCATAAAGAATATTTTGTGTCAGGACAAGTTTCAACCCATTTGGCCCAATCCGTTCGGCAGTAAACTAGATAAGTCCAAAACAACTCAATATAAAAGCCATAATATGCCAAACAGTTAAATATATATATCTCTCTCTCGAACTCGAAAGGATTTTGTCAACATTTTTGCCAGCGAAAGCGCAAAGCCTTTCGTCCTGCCACGCCCACTCCCTCCACATCACCCTCACCCGCAGCCGCCCACATTTTATCCTCGAACTGTGATGCTGGCATTTATTCTGTGTGTGTTTTTGTTTACAAAGTTTTGGCCAACCGAGCTGCAAGCGAAAGAGCTCTATTTCAGCTCTATTTCAAAAGGAGCGGGAATTCGAGTTGATCGGGGTTGAACGACTGGATTGTGCATAGAATTTAGCACATATTTTGAAAACAAATATTTGACATGAGCATACAGGCAAACAAGCTCAAGCCCCCGGGAGTCCCAAGAAAATGCCACGCGAGGGCGGTTCCAAAGTCAAGGATTAGCTGTTTGGGACAACCTATTGATATCGGGAAGTAAGAAATTCGATACCATAGATTGTCAGTAAAAATCAGATCTTGAAAAAATATTATTTTGATATTGATAAATTACCATTAAAATTTATTTCAAGTTTTTTAAGCATTCATTTTTACAAAACAAAAATAAATTAATTTAATCAAACTATAAAGTTAAATTTAAATTGATAAATATTATTTAGAAGTATGTTCTATATTTTCTTAACCCATTTAAAAGGCTAAGTATTTTGCCTCCCCCAAATATTACTAGCAACCCTCGAATCTATTTTTGGCCAAAACTTTGCTTAATATACAATGTCACAAAGCGTAATGAAATCGCATTAAACGCCCTCTCACAAACCCATTGGCATGTAAGTAAAGTAGCATGCCGCAGCAGAAAAAAGGCTAAGGACTTGCAGGAGAATTCTGTTGGCCCAATTTTTCGGCTGGCATTTTAAGTGCACACATGTACATCTGTCTACCCTTCAGTTATGTATATATATATATATCTGCTTATGGCCTCGATATGGCGCACATTATCGTTAAATGCCAGCGGCAACAACAAGTTGGCATGCAATTTGATGACTTGGAAGTTGGCAGGCATTTTGATGATGCCATTCAAACTGCCTGAATTGTGGGCGTATGTAATTCTGGATGCCTAACGATGGCTCGTTAGAAATGGATTAACATTGATTAGTTCTTATACTCCTGTGGGCTGGAAA